CATGTTTAATATTTGGTCCACTTCTTCTAATTTAACTGGAAGCTCCATTTTTGATTGGAACGAATTTAATTTAAGGGTGATGTTACTTACTCCATTTAATGCATGGACAAACATCTCTGCACTTCCTAAATTATCTGTTCCTTTTTCTTTAATATGTTCTTCAACTTGTCCAATTTCTTCTTTAGCATCTTCAAGAGCTTTTAACATAGTTTTTATTGTTGAAGTTTCTTCAAACACTGTTTGATCTACACTATTAATGGCTGCACAAACCTCTTCTGGTGTTTTATTCTTAAACCCTTTAAGCAAAATTGTAAAGGTTTGATTATTCTTGGCATCAAGAATACAAATAGGTCCTTGTTTTTTAGTTTCTTTTGGGGCTGCATCTGCTACTGGTTTAACTTTTTCAGGAACTTTGAATGCCGCTTCAATTAATGATAGGTCTAATTTTTGCTTTGTTTTATCTAATGTGTCTAACTTAGTAAATAATGTTCCACTTAAGTTCTTATCATTCATCTTTTGCCACATGAAATTCTTTACTTTGGATTTTGGTTTTGGGAGAGTATCAACTAATCCGTTGATAACTGGTGCAGCTGGTCTAAATCCAAACCCACCAGGAGGTGGAGGAGGCATACCGGGCATTCCAGGAGGAGGTGGAGGCATTCCTGGCATTCCAGGAGGAGGTGGAGGCATTCCTGGCATTCCTGGCATTCCAGGAGGAGGTGGAGGCATTCCTGGCATTCCAGGAGGAGGTGGAGGCATTCCTGGCATTCCAGGAGGAGGTGGAGGCATTCCTGGCATTCCAGGAGGAGGTGGAGGCATTCCTGGCATTCCAGGAGGAGGTGGAGGCATTCCTGGCATTCCAGGAGGAGGTGGTGGAGGAGGCATACCGGGCATTCCAGGGGGTGGTGGTGGTGGTGGCATTCCTGGCATTCCTGGCATTCCAGGAGGAGGAGGTGGTGGAGGAACTGAACTTGCTCCAGGAGGAGGAGGTGGTGGAGGAATTGAACTTGCTCCAGGAGGAGGAGGTGGTGGAGGAACTGAAGTAGCTCCAGGAGGAGGAGGTGGTGGAGCTAAGGAAGAAGTGCCAGAGACAGAAACACCCTTAGGTTTAGAGGCTAACTCTTTTTTTGTTTGTTCTATTTTCTTTTTAACCTCTTCTATTTCGTCATTGATCTTTTTACTTTCTGTATCAATTTGTTGAATCTTTTCTTTCTTGTCATTTAACTCTTTGTTAACCTCAGAGTTTTCTTGGTCTATTGACGATACTTCTTTTTCGATAGTTTTGATTTTTTCTAAAGTAATTTGTAACTGTTCCTTAGAATTTTTTAAGTCTTGTTTCTTCTTG